GGGGGGGGCTCCTCTTTCTCCTTTGCATCGCTTTAAATAAGCATTAACATCTCTGCCCCGTAAAGGGGGTTTCCTGCTTTCCTCCCTGGCTTTCTTGGCTCTTTTCTCTCTCTGTTTCTGGTCCACGGGGGGTGAGTGTAGTGGAAATACCAGCGTACCCGGTGGGTCGTTGCTCTATGGGGCTGTGGGTGATGGTAGAAATGTGTATTAGGTCTTCTCTCAGGCCCACCAACTGGACTTCTGGTGGGGATGGCTTGAATGCTGCCAACCGATGTGAAAGTCCCCATGGGTTTGGGGGGTTTTTCCACCTGGAAATAAGATAAAATTATTAGAGCCAGAGATGCTGTTAACTTCAGCTGTGCCCCACTTCCACCTGTGCGATCTCTGGTCAGCAAAAAACAAACTCAGCTGAATTCTGCCTAGTTCTTCAGACTAGGAAAAATCTGCACACCTTTAAAATCGTGTGTTTCCTCTGATGGCAAAGCATTTCTCCCTGGTAGCTGCTTTACAGGGACATTGACGTTGCACAAGGTGGAAAAAGCCCTGGAAAGTACAAGATGTGACACATCAGGGATTTGGTGTTTCTTGCTTACCGTCGCCAGCAGTGGGAACCAGGCACAGGTCTCTCTTTTCCCATGAAAAATCAACCCATTTGGTGCTAGATAAGCTGCTTTATTTACTTTTTTCGTTTTGATGGTTATACAGCGGAAATTCTGTCATCGTATTCTCTTCCCTAGCACGATGTACTCTTTACAGTTCGCTTTTACGAGTGGTATAAAAACAAAAATTGCTTGGAATGGGGCATTGATAAAATGTAAGAAGAGGTGCTGCATGACTTTGACCTCGAGGTTTTACCCGTTTCCTCGTTGCCTGTAAAGGTGGTGATGAGAGAGCTGAGCCTGAAAGTTAACACATTCCGAGGTCGTCCTGGGACTGCTGAAACCCAGGCAGACAGTAGGCAAGGATTGGGTTTAAATATATTCATTTATAGAACAGATACCAAGAAGAGCTTTTCCATTTCTAAAACTGCGTTTTTAGGGCTGACTGAGCCGGCGGTGGGCGTAAGTGGAAACTTGGGGATTTCGTTCGCGGGCTTCCAGGTGACTCACTGTGCTGTGAGCAAAAAGAAGGGAGCACGCACGACCTCACCCAGCAGCTTGATGCTGTCTGTGGGCCTCCGTGGGGGTTTATAGGCAGCTGAAGAGGTCCTGGAGGAAGATGAGGTCTTCATATTTCAATAAGGGACTTGGAAGTTATTAAAATGCCAACTTCTTAGGAGAATAGCTGAATCTGAGCAAAGAAAAGGAATGCTCGGTGCATTGGAATGAGGGGTTTCTTCCTAACGCTCCTGGCTCTCAGCTGGAAAGGATCCCTGTAAATACTGAATACTTCCCTCCCTGGAACTGTTGTTGCTTTATGGCAAAGGCATCCAGCGCGGGAAAAAAAGTGTGTTTTTTGAATATGAAAGAAGCACGAAGTAGGAGTTTATCTTACCTGCACACACAAACACTGTATCGAGCTGTGGATGTAAATGTGATATCAGTCCCTGCAGCCTTCCCTGCCTCGGGCTGTTAACTCCCTCCATGGGTCTCCTTGGGAATCCATCCCATTTCTCTGGAAACAGGTGGGCTGTCAGGGACATGGAGACGGGAGGGAAGTGGGATGCGCAGCGGGGTTTTGGCAGGCTCAGGGCATGGATGCCGGCTTCCCTGTGGATGCCAGCCCCAAAAACGCCTGGAAAGTTTTTGTTCCTAAAGTCTTTTGGCCACCCGCTGGAGGCCGGGTACGAGCCTAGCCCAATCTCCATAGGGATGTGCCGGGGCGGTGGTGTTCCCCATGGCATGGGCTTGTCTCCACAGCCCTTGTCCATCCAGGGGCTGCGGCAGTGGCGTTGGGCACAGGGAGCAGCCTGGGCTCTGGTGAGTGGAAAGCTGAGGAAGATTTGTTTTGGGGAAGGAAAATGTCCCGAGGAAGACAGACGTGAGCAGTGCTGTTGCTGCGGAAGGACTTGGGATTTGCTGCCGTTAACAGCTCTTAACGGAGATCATACATAAAGCGTGTGCTGGGTAAATGCTGCCGTTGGGAACATAAGCTGCTTGGAGAGGGGGGGGAATCACGTGGCTTTGATTCCCAAGGCAAGGATTTCCTTTTGCCTGAGAGAAGGTCTTAGCCCTGTTTTCTGCCTCAGCAAGGCAATGGCTTGAAAAAGAAAGCAGTGCGATGCTGCAGTTTGTTCCTCTCCAGATTCCCTTGGGAAAGAATTGGCTCTGGCATTGCCTGCGGATACCTTTAGGTTAGGTTTTGGAGCTTAGAAACGGCCCTTCCTGCCTCCTGAAATGCTGCAGGCAGTGTAAAACACACTGTTTGACTTGGAGCAACCCGCGCCTGATGTCTGCGGGAGGTGGGCTGGAGACCGGGCTGGGGGGGGATAGAGCAGTGTGGGGATACCATCTTCTGATCAGCCTGAGTATCTGAGACAGCTTCCAACGCCCCCTCTTCAAAAGCTCTCCCTAAAGCCTCGTGGAGCTCACCCCAAGCCTTCCCCGTCTCCAGCACTTCAGATCCCCCCAAACCCAGAGCAGCCAGGCGCCCGAGGGGCACCGCTGGGTCCTGCCTCAGCGACAGGCATGAGGACCAGTAGAAGGAAAAATAGGCGTTTGGTTGAAGACGTGACTTTTCCCACTTTCCCAGGACCATCAGTGTTTTGGGCTTAGCCCAGCAACCCCCAGGTAACAGGCGGCAGTAGCAGAGCGGTGTGACGGCTGCACCAGCTCTCCTGCCTGTGTGGTACACGTCCTAAAACAGATAGAATCATAAAATCACAGAATCACAGAACGGTTTGGGTTGGAAGGGACCTTAAAGATCATCCAGTTCCCACCCCCTGCCATGGGCAGGGACACCTTCCACTAGACCAGGTTGCTCCAAGCCTCATCCAGCCTGGCCTTGGACACTTCCAGGGATGGGGCATCCACAGCTTCTCTGGGCAATCAAGATTCCCATGACTCCTTGAAGTACAATCTTTGCTCAGACTGTGGCTTTGGCGCAAGGACAGCACCCGTCCCATGTTTTCCAGCTCTGACCACTCCAGTAGATGCTGCTCCGTGCCAGCTGCCCTGTGCCAGGGCATCCCGGGAGCTCCCAGCACCTCGGCTGCGAGGTGGGAGGGTGGGAAAAGCAAACCCTGGCCTGCCTGCCATCCCAGAGCGGGGATTTACGGCGGGTGCGTTACACGCAGACCAGTTGGCTTTACCTGCACTGGCTTTTGCCTCTGGCTCTGCGGCTTCTCCGCTAACCAGTCCCATGGCTGTGCTGAGCTCCCGCCCGCGAGACCAGCGCGGAGCCGGGCCCTGCTCCGCTCGTTTGCCCTTGCACATGGACACTCACGAGTCCAGGTGAATGTTTTTCCTGATTAGGCGTGGGGGAGGAGGAGCAAATGTTCGGGGTGGGCTCAAAGGGCATGCACGCTAATTAGAAAGTCTTTTACACACACACAGAGACGCAAATTATTGTTATTTCAGTGCTCTGAGCTCTCTCTTTGCTGTTTCTTTTCTAGTATGGTATGGGAAGTAGCACCAAAGCCTCTTTCACCCCCTTTGTGGACACCAGAGTGTATCAGACCTCGCCTACTGACGAAGATGAGGATGAGGACGAAGAGTCGTCTGCTACTGGTAGGAGTCAGTGGGGCCAGTCTGAGAGGGGAGGGCCTTGTGGAAACCAGGATGTGAAGTCTGAATAACCCCACTGAACCTCTTCTGCATTTCACTCGTTGCTCGTGTCTGTATCCTTGTGCTCTCCAGTTTCCATCCAACTTCTCCCCCGCCAGTGAAATGCCACCAGAAGGGTCCAGGGGGAAACAGGGAACAGCAGAAATCCATCTACCCGCTGCCTGGGCAGCCGGGAGAAATGTTCCTGGCAGGACTGGGGGCTGGTAGTGGCTCTGGAAAGCTGGCCATTGCTCAGAGGTCATTGGAAAGGGCTGGATGCGGGCAGCGAATGGCGCTGGGCAGCTTGGGGGGCAGGGCTGAGGTCTGGGGACATTGCATGCTGATGGGTTTGGGTCCAACCATCATGATGATCCCTCTTCAAACTAATAGCTCAGTGATGGCATCAGAAAACAAACCAAGTATTGTCTTCCTGTCCCAAAAAAAACTGGTGGAAGAGGTACATACAACTAATCCATCACACTTTGCTGTTGTGTTTCCTGCAAGCCCTGTTCACCAGCGAGCTGCTCAGGCAGGAGCAGGCCAAGCTGAACGAGGCCCGGAAGATCTCGGTGGTGAACGTCAACCCCACCAACATCCGTCCCCACAGTGACACCCCGGAGATCCGAAAGTACAAGAAGCGCTTCAACTCGGAGATACTCTGTGCTGCGTTATGGGGTAAGTCCTTACCGTGTGCCCTCAGCTCTCTAGGCGGGTGGCTGGCAGTGGAACACAGAATCATAGAATGGTTTGGGTAGGAAAGGACCCTAAAGATCATCCAGTTCCAACCCCCCTGCCATGGGCAGGGACCCCTTCCACCAGACCAGGTTGCTCCAAGCCTCATCCAGCCTGGCCTTGAAGACATCCAGGGATAGGGCATCCACAGCTTCTCTGGGCAACCCATTCCAGTGCCTCCCCCCCCTCTCCAGGAAGAATTTCTTCCTGATATCTAATCTAAACCTCCCCACTTTCAGTTTAAGCCCGCTACCCCCTGTCCTGTCACTACAGGCCCTTGTAAAACGTCCCCCCCAGCTTCCTTGTAGCCCCTTCAGGTACTGGAAGGCTGAACACATGAACGTGTCATCGCAGAATTGAGCCCCTGCCTCTGGTTGTCCCCTTCTCCATCTGGGCAAGGCTAATATCCCCAAGTCCCTGTGCTGTGAGAGTGACTCTTCATCTTCATGGGAAGGTCACAGCCTTGCCTGGGATGGGTCACTCTCTCGGTGGTAGCAGAGAGGAGCTCGGGGGGTTGTCCTTGGAAGCAGCCATGGCTCCGGGTGCCCATTGCCCTCTCGTCTTCAGGTGTGAATCTGCTGGTGGGCACAGAAAATGGCCTGATGCTGCTGGATCGAAGCGGACAAGGGAAGGTCTATAACCTGATCAACAGACGGCGATTTCAGCAGATGGACGTACTCGAAGGTCTTAACGTCCTCGTGACGATATCAGGTACACCTCTCGCGCTCACACCCCATCGTGCACCTTGCGGCGTGTTCTCGAGTGGCTCCAGCTCACACAAAACCTGCCCACCACGGTCAGAGGGAAGCTCCTGGGGGACGTTGGCAGTGGTTTATTCCAGAATCAAAGGTGTTAGATCTGCAAGAATGCCTATGAGAGCAATTTGCTCCCATCATCTGCCAGCTCTGCTTCATCCGCAGCGCTCCGTCCCCCTTCAGCAGGGAGGGGAAGGTGCAGAGTACAGGCAGATGCCCCAGCACGCTCACTCTGAATTCACCAGCAAATTCCCTCTCCCTTCGTGAAGATAGTGCTCTTAAAGAACACCTCTTTGTCACCTGCCTTGCTCTGCAGCTCCCCTCTGCGTTTGGGGATACAGCTGTGGGAAGAAAGGTGGAAGATGAATGGGGGTAGTGCTCCCCAGCCCCTGGGGATGGCCCAGGGCACTTGTGAAAACCCACGGGCAGACAGAGCCCCTGGTTTACAGGTTGGGTACTCTCCCACAGCCTCGGTGCGAGCTGTGTCCTTGGCAGCAGCGGGGAGGTTTTGGGCAGACCGCAACCATCTGAGAAGCGTGCAGAAATTTGGCAGCCCCTCCGCGTCGCAGAGCCTGGCACCCGGCCTGTCGGCAAATAGCGGTGCCTGTCGCAGACCGAGGCGCTCGTGTCTTGGGTCCGGGGTGGAATTAATGTGGTACAAAGGAGAAGAGAGGGAAAGGAAGCAGGTAGCTGAGTGGTAAGAGAGCTGGGGTCATGGCCCCGCTGTACTGTCTGTCTGTGAACACTGATTTATAGGGAGAGGAACATTTCCAGCCTGCGGTGAGCGGGAGCATCCGCCTGCAGTCCGGGACACACTGGTCTGGGCTCTGCTTGCCCAGTGGAAAAAAAAGAGCCCACAACAGCTGATTTACTATTTTCGACTTCATTGTGAAAAGAACTTTAATTGTATCATCTTGTGAAGGAAAATAAGCACTGAAACCTCAAGGTTTTCCGTGCACATGTGCACTGCGCTGACAGGGAAGTTTCCTTTGCCAACAGGAAAGAAGAACAAGCTGCGCGTGTACTATCTCTCCTGGCTGAGAAACAGGATTTTACACAATGACCCTGAAGTAGAGAAGAAGCAGGGCTGGATCACGGTCGGGGACCTGGAGGGATGCATCCACTACAAAGTCGGTGAGTGGCCGCTCCAGAAAAACATGTCTGGAGGGATGCACTTTTGTTCTCTAGTTTTAGATCTGACCTGACAATTTCTCTCAAAAATAACTGAACTGTATTCAATTTTGGGCCACTCACTTCAAGATAGACACTGAGGGGCTGGAGTGTGTCCAGAGAAGGGAATGGAGCTGGGGAAGGGTCTGGAGCGCAATTTCTGTGAGGAGCGGCTGAGGGAGCTGGGGGTGTTCAGCCTGGAGAAGAGGGGGCTCAGGGAGACCTGATCGCTCTCTACAGCTCCCTGAAAGGAGGGTGCAGAGAGGGGGAGGTTGGTCTCTTCTCCCCAGTGACAAGTGATGGGACAAGAGGAAACAGCCTCAGGTTGTGCCAGGGGAGGTTTGTGTCGGATATTTGGGAAAATGTCTTCCCGGAAAGGGCTGTCGGCATTGGAACAGGCTGCCCAGGGAGGTGGTGTGGAGTCACCATCCCAGGAGGGATTTAAGAGATGTGTGGACAAGGTGCTTGAGGAGACAGTTTATTGATAGCCTTGGGAATGTCAGGTTTATGGTTGGTCTTGACCTTAAACGTCTTTTCCAACCTAAAAGATTCTGTGTTTCTATGGGTAGACCGCAGGCACAAAGAAATTTGTTGTTCGTCTATGTGTATGAGGTAGATAATTTACCAAACGAGAACCAACAGAGAGAGCCTGAGAAGCTGTTCCTGGAGATGCCTTGTTTAGTCTTGCTGGAAAGAAACTGAATGATTTAAGAACGGGTTTTATTTTTATTTTAGTGAAATATGAAAGAATCAAGTTCTTGGTGATTGCCTTAAAGAACGCTGTAGAGATCTACGCTTGGGCTCCTAAACCATATCACAAGTTTATGGCATTCAAGGTATGTTTCTCTTTTAACCAAAATACACTCCGTAATAGTAAATACACGCCGTTTCCGTACTACACAGAGCAGAAAAGCATCTTGCTGACGTAGCTGAGCTCCTCGGGACGCCTGGCAGGCGTGGGAGATGGGATACAGGCTGGCTGAAGAGATGGGGTGTGTTCTGTTGAGGGCTAGCAATCAAGCAGTAACATTGGGCCCATGAGTAAAATTGAGTTGGGGTTTTTGGTGTGGGGAGATGTGATTTGTTGGGTTTTTTTTTTTTAAACCTCTGACAAATTTATCACATACGGTGTGAAAACAGGTTGGCATTGTTTTCCATTTTTGTTTTGCAAGGTTCTTTCCCCTTCTGCAGCGTGGGTTCCGTTTCAAGACAGAAAGTCCAGGAGAACGACCCACTCTTTCTCATTCTCTTTTTCGTTCTCTTTTCATCTACCTCAGTTTCCTTCAGTGAGATATTTCTCCTCTGTGACCTGCCAATGGGTATTTTGTACTTAGTGCTTTAAAGCACTTTTCATCCTGAGCTCCGTGCAGAGACAAGTCACAAGGGGCAATGCCTTCTGGAGACATTCATGCTGAGTAATCTCATTTTGCATCCTTCCAACACAAATGGGCTTATTCAGTATTAGGTCACATTTGCTTTTTCTGAACAAAAGCCAGAGTGAATGGGCTCGGTGACATGGAGAGCTCGGCAGCATTACAATAGCCTGGGATCCAGTCTCCGCTGGCTCTGCTGCTCCAGTCTGGGGTGCTGAGCATCCTTTCCTTGCTTTGTAGGCAGGGATTTGTCAGGACAGTGGGAACTACCACCCACTGATTTTCCCTGTCGGGAATCGGAGTGGTTCTTGCACAGAGAGCCATGAGCCCCCTTCTCTCCCTGGGGGTGTTTCACCCTCCTGCTCAGGACCTAGGTCATGGAGAGATACTCCATCCTGGATTGGTCCAGGCCAGGGAGCTGGGCCCAGCCTGCATCCAGGGATAGGTGGGTCCCACCCTGAGCAGGGATGAGTAGGTCTTTGCTAATCCAACTCGTTTCAGGGAGCAGTGATCCTCAGCAAATCCTCAGGCTGGCCGTGGGCTCCTTCCTGGGGGAAGAGAGTTGTGCTGGGCGAGGGAGCACATCCCTGCTGGGGTGGCTGGAGCCAGCGGGTCATACCCTCTGAGGCATGTGACACAGGAACAGCGGGACAGGAATATCAGTAACCACGTACTTTTATTTGACTGTGTTTCCTACTAAAAGGACTTTAAAACCGTATCAGGCTGCTGCTACGGGGATTTGTTGGTTTTCTGTGACGCTCACTGAAGGAATTATAACAGTCTTTTGCAGATCTCCAGCACAAGCCGTTACTCGTGGATCTCACTGTAGAAGAGGGTCAGAGACTCAAGGTTATCTTTGGATCACACACTGGTTTCCATGTGATTGATGTAGATTCTGGGAACTCCTACGATATCTACATACCATCTCATGTGAGTACACGGGGCGGGGCGGCCGCATGACTGACGCAGGTCACCAGCAAGGGTGGGATGGGCCCTTGGTGGCTCAGAAATCGTGACCAGTTGGGTGACATCTTGCCGTGGGTATGACGTTCTCCAGTGCCACCTTCTTTGGTACGTGCTTAAAGAGCACCCGGAGTATCACACACTTCATGTCCGTTATTCACACAGGCTGTTTCTGTCCTTGTGACCGGAGCAGCCAGGTTTAAGGGTTCCCGTGTCCCACAGAAAGGAGAATCTGTCCCTAGGCTGTGTGCAGCAGTGGTGGAGCTCTCTGTCATGAAGTCAGGTTCATGGTTGTTGGACAACACAGACCCACCGAGAGCTGGATGCCTGGTGTATGGTCCCGTTGCGTGGTGTCCCGGATGCGCTCACCAACTCTTGGTCCTGCTGAGGCGGTGCAGTTTGCGCAGGGTTTTGCAGGATTAGAGTAGCCCAAATCTCAGTGAGCCTGTTTCTCAAAACTCCCAAACCCCCTGGCAGCAGGGACTCACCACAAGACCGCTCTCATGTCCATCAGCTGTTTCCAGAGGAAACCAGTGCTGCAAAAAATACTGAAGATGAGGATTTTCTGGATGGCTTATCGAAGCTCCAGCCGTGCTGTTGGCCAAGCAGCATGAGAAACTGGTCTAGGAGACACTGGGTCATTAACCAAATCCGGAAGTGCTGACTGATCTGAGCAGCAGAGCTGCCTCTGCGAGAGCTGGCAAGAAGCGCAGGGAGAAACACTGGGGCAGCTTGGGATGGTTTTGTTGTCTTAGCTACGGAAGGGCAGACGTGGGTGGAAAGCTGTAGCTACCCTTGGAGCTAGAGATTGATTGCCAAAAAGAAGGGAATACCTCGGGCTACCTGTAAAATGCTGGGGTTATTTGCCTTAATTGGAGTAGGAGATGGACTCAGCAGTCGCTTCTCTGCGTTGCAGCCATCCGTCTTGGGGGTGTGTATGTTGTGACCTCTGTAACAGCTAAACCTGTTGATCCTTGACGTGTCAGGCGGCTGTGGTGGTAGGGTAAACGCGACAGCCTGTTCCCCTGCACGCTTAGCTCCGAAAGCCAATGCCTGTTTACTGAATCGAGGGAGCGTTTTGTTCTCGGGTTGGTTTGGGGTGGTGTTTTCCTAAGGCTCTGCTCCTTTCCTCCATCCAGTGTAATTCTGACTCTCAGGATTTGTTTTAACTGCAGATTCAGGGCAATATTACTCCTCACGCCATCGTCATCCTGCCTAAAACGGACGGGATGGAGATGCTTGTGTGCTATGAGGATGAAGGCGTGTACGTCAACACCTATGGACGGATAACTAAAGATGTGGTGCTCCAGTGGGGAGAAATGCCTACTTCCGTGGGTAGGTCAACCCTTCCGCTTCACCTGCATAAAACACGAGTGACAAGTGAGAGGAGAAGGGGAGGGTGCTGAGGTGGAGTCGCTTGGGCTTTTGTCTCTCAAAGGAGATTTCTCGCAGCCAGATGAGAGATGCTAAATGTCTGCAATTTGGTCCTGTGTGATAAAAGCAAGTGACTAGTTGAAGATTTGAGCTCTGGTTCATCTTAAATACAAGATAACAGAGGCTGTTGCACTGGTGGGATACTGGGTTGGGTGGAAGAGGGGCTGAGAGCAGACCTGGGAGCTCTTGGGTTGCTCTTCTGGCTCTGCTGTTGCTCAGCTCCACGACCCGTGGAGGTAAGCCGCTGCCCAGCTCCTTTCCCACAGAAATCGAAAAAAGTGATACTTCTGTTTAAATTACTCATCAGTTTCTGCACGAAAGGTGCTGCGTAGAAAAAGTGATACTTCTGCTTAAATTGCAGTTTCTGCACGAAAGGTGCTGCGTAGAGGTGGTTATCCCCGCGGGCACCCACCTGACCACCAGTCCCACTGATCTACATAAGCTCTGAGTAACAGCTGACGAGAGCTCCTCTGCTCCTTGCGTAATGTTTAGCTCAACACACACCGTAACACCTACCAAACGTTTCCTTTTGACAGCCTACATTCATTCCAATCAAATAATGGGCTGGGGAGAGAAAGCTATTGAAATCCGGTCAGTGGAGACGGGACATTTGGATGGAGTATTTATGCACAAGCGAGCTCAAAGGTTAAAGTTTCTATGTGAAAGAAACGATAAGGTAAGTCCACTTCAAAGCCAGTATCCACGCGTTAAGCTGCAGCCAGCTACTTTCAGACTCTAAGTCTGGTTTATCTTGAGGTTAATAATTAATCTGAAGGTCCTGTTGAATAAGCACCACCCCGTAAACCCACCCCGGTTAGTTTTCACCGGTGGATGCAGACCTCAGCCTGTGGTGGGAGGATCTGCGAGATCTCTTCCACCTCGCGCCGAGATCTGCCTTGGCTGGGCTTTCTCCCTGTCTTGGCTCTCAGCGTTAACAGCTGAGGCTGCCAAGCTCTGCAGAAGCTGAGAAATGGTCACCCTGGGGACGTGCAAGCGACCCTGGTGTGAGCTCCGGCGCGGAGACGATTTGATGCCTTTTTACTTTTGTGACCTTAAAGCTGTTTTCTCCGTGGAGCCTCGTCTTTTTTTGTGGGCAGCATTACCCAGACCGCTCTGGCGGGGCCTGGGGGGATGCGGCTGTCATGCGGATGACCCCCGCCACGGGTGTTGCTGGTGGGCAAGGGGTGCAGGGGGTGAGGGAAGGAGAAATTGCTGGAGGAAAAGGAATATTTGCATGGAAGGTGGTTGAGCGCTGAGGTCTTTTTCTGCGTTGGGCATTTCCTCACCTCGCGAGGTTCCACCAAGCTGAATCGGGACCACGCAGCAGGGAGTTCTTTGGTAACGAGCACAGCCATGCAACACGTGAAGAAGCTGATTGCTCCGTCCCCAGAGCAGGGGTAATGACGTACAATAAGTAAGGTTTGGGGCCACGGTCTGTTACTGAGCAGCTGCTCGTTAGTTGAGCGTTGCCCTGCAGAAAAAAAAGCATCCTGCCCTTGCCATTGCGTGTGCCACGGGAAGCTGCCCGGGAAGCGGAACTGGAGTTGCCCCAGTAGCCCTGGTTCGCTTTCTGCTAACTTCGGAGTACGTGGCTGCAGGTTTTACACTGTTTCACTGAAGTGTTGGTCTCCTGGTTTGCTCGTACGGATTTTCTTTCCCTTTCGAAGAAAACTGGGGAAAAAAAAAAAAAAACCTCGATATTTCCAAAATACCGGGACAAACTGACCACTGATGGGATTTGAAATACTAAATGCAGACTTTCCTCTTCCTGGCGAAATGGTTAACGATTAAGATTATGTGAAGATTGAGTAATTTTTGGTTTTAAAAAGGTCAGAGGCTTCCGATTGTCCCCTTGAAGTTAGTTATAATTTGCGAATATTTAGGGCTCCCGTGGGGTCAGATGCTGGTGGATCCCGACAGACGCGCTGGCGGGCGCGCTCTTCGTAGCGAGCGCTGACATGTTCCAGCGCTTGGAGCATGTGGAAGGAAAGCCCTTTTCCTGAGCTCAGTTGTCAGGAACAGCTGAAACACCAGCCCCATCCCTGGAAGTGTTCAAGGCCAGGCTGGATGTGGCTTTGAGCAACCTGGTCTAGTGGAAGGTGTCCCTGCCCGTGGCAGGGGGGTTGGAACTGGATGGTCTTTAAGGTCCCTTCCAACCCAAACCATTCTGTGATTCTATGATTCTATGACTAGCTTTTCCAAAGACAGCCGTTGTTGACCCAAACCACTGGCAGCAGTCTTGGCAGCATTGCATGACAAGCGGCGCCGCGGCAGTGATATGGGATAAACGGGGCATTTTCAAGGCATTCCAAGGCGTATCTGCGTCGTGACAGCGAGGGAGGTTTTATTACCATGTTTACTAACCAGCCGTTTGAGTCGGTACGAGTCTTGCGTGGGTTAGCTCCAGCCCCTGAGCTCCCCGGAAAACGAGGTGGGCGGTGAGTCTGGGTGGTGGTACTGCCGTCACCTGGAGAAAAGGGGCAGGGAGGGAGGTGGAGGAAACCACGGGGTGTGGGGCAGCTCCCGCTTTCCTCGCTGGCGGAGGCAATTCATGATAATAAAAATGCTTAATAAGGTTATTTTGCTTCCAAACAGGTATTTTTTGCATCAGTGAGATCCGGAGGAAGCAGCCAAGTGTTTTTCATGACCCTCAACAGAAACTCCATGATGAACTGGTAACGGAGGAGCACTTGGCACTCACCGCCATGGCATTATTTCTGACCTAAAGGACGTTGAACACGTGGACTAACACTGTAGAGGCAGGTGCGGAGGGCGCCGAGCAACACCGCTCCCCACGCTCCCCCGGCACCGGCAGCCCCGGGGCTGCGGGCGGGGATGGACTTTGCGCTTGGAGCCCCCGAGGTCTCCCGATTACGCTGTGTTATAGTGGGTTATGAGTTTTCCTTTTTTTTTTTCTTTTTTTTTTTTAATTTTACTTTTTCTTTGTCCCCTACTTTGTAAGAACGGGGAAAGAAATAGTGTCAAAAAGTCTGTTTTTAATTCTGTCTGCCTGCTAGCATCAAATATATAGTATGTTGTAAAGTTACCAATTAAATCTGGTGAGAGACAGCACAATAAATGTACCTTTTATCTTTGTGATGAAGGCCATAACCGTATAGCTGGGTAATTTTAGAGATCTTTTGCCTTCACCAACATTTACGTGTTGCTTTTGGCAGCAACGGCTTAACGGATTTTTAAAGAAGAGAAAAAATAATAGGTTTTTTTCCCCTCTTTTGGGAAATGGATTTTAAATGGCTAAACTACTAGCCTTAGACTAATAAAAATCAGCTACCATTTTTGTCAAGTCTGTCAATCCATATTTCTATATGGATCTTCGCATAATGGTGTGTCTTGATAGGGACAGGGGTGCCGTTGGTTGTTGCTCCGGAGGTGCCCGCCTGCCCCCGGGGCTTGGCTGCCGGGACGGGGGATCGGAGGAGAAGAGGACGGC